TCTCAGGCTCCTGGCCTCCACTGCATGTTGTACTCTCCCTTGAGCTATGGCCAGGATGGGGGTGCTGCTTGCAAGCCAGGCTTTCCTGCTCCAGGATTGCCATGGCGATGGGGGAGCAGGCCCAGCTGGGACTGCCCACAGGCCAGGATTTCCTGCTTCCGGATCAGACGCAGCTGGGGGCTGCCTACAGGCCGCACTTTTCTACTTACCAATGGCCGGATCACCACAGCGACCCAGGGCCCAGCAGCACTTTCCTGCTGTCCAATAGTCATAGAATCCCAGCTGGGGGCGGGGCTTAGCAGTGCGGGGCTTAGGCGGCATGGGGGTCCCGGCTGGGGGCTCAGGTGGCACATAGGGGTCCTGGCTGGGGGCGATGCTTATGCCCGCAGCCCAGGGCTGCACATGGGGCCCAGATGGCAGCTCGCGCTGTCCCGCCCTGCCTGTAGTATAGGATAGAGATAGAGGCCTGGTGCACGGGTGGGGGCTGGCTGGTTTGCCCTGAAGGGTGTCCCGGATCAGGGTGGGGGTCCTGCTTGGGTGCCAGGCCAGCCTGGATGATGGGCTGATGGCTGTTTTTATGCTGCCCGCACCCCCTTTATGGTGGGGTCCTCACTGGGGTGCCTGGCCAGTCTGGATGACTGGGTGATGGCTGTTTGCAGCTGGTCACACCCTCTTCAGGGTGGGGGTCTCAGAGCTGGGCGGCGGCAGGCGGGGAACCTTGGCTTCCTCCATCACTGGAGCAAGCAAGCCTCCTGTTCACTTCAGCTGCCTGGCTGCCGGCCGCCATCTTGGTTGGCAGTTAATTTGCATATCCTGCTGATTAGCCAATGGGAAGCATTCGGGGGTATGGTCAATTTGCATGTTTCTCTTTTATTAGATAGGATAAGTATTATGTGTAATAAAAATATATTGTGTATGGTTGACAGATATTATAGCATACACTCAATTATAAACAATTTTATACGTATAAATAATTGTATGTATTATCTTTAATAAATCTATTCCCAAAATTTTACAATCTTGATCTAATATTAGAATAACACATTATGCTTTATATAGCATTTTGTACAGAGTTCAAAGGTTACTAACTCAGGAGACCTGGAAAAATCTGATTAAACACATAATTCATGTCCATATGTATAAAAATTAAAAATGGGTTTCCTTATTTGACTGCAACTTTTCATAAGAAATTTCCACATCAAATAATTGTGAATCTCATTGTTATCCTTAAAATGTTAACATGAATTAAAAAATAACTATATATAACAATAAAGTAGCCATTACTTACGCCATGTCCATTGCACAGTTTTGAAGCATTACAGGATGCAAGGTTTTTGTGATTAGCAGCAAACGTGCACTTTCCAGAAAGGCAAAACTAAAATTTTAAAAACAAGCATCAACAATGAAAATGAGGAAATGCAGAGTTGAGCAATTGTTGTTGGTACAAAACAATGCACAAAATTTATATGTACAGAAGAGGGTAAAAGTAGGTTTACAGTGGGAAAAGACATGCAAATTATGATTATTTATATTACTTACACACTCCTGTAGTCTACTTTGTTTTGCATACACACAACTGTAAACCTGCTTATCCCCACCAAAGTATTTATAAAACATACGAATTTTTTAAATAAGAGTGGTGAAAGTGGACATCATTATCTTTTTCATGGTTTAAGGGAAATGCTTTTAGTTTTAGCCCATAATGTTGGTTGTATCTTTTTCATACATGGTCTTTATTACATTGAGATAAGATCCCCCTATACCCCCTATTGAATGCTTTCTCTGCATCTATTGATATGATCATGGGATTTTTATTTTGTTTATGTGATGTATCTTATTGATTTGTATATATTGTACCAATCTTACATCCCTGGAATAAATCACACGTGATCAGGTCTATGATTTTTTTAATGTATTGCTGGATCCAATTTGCTCAACAGAGTACTGAAAGTCCCAGTCATAATGATCAGCCAAGAAGAAAAAATAAAGGCATCCAAATTGGAAAGAAGGAATTAAAACTGTCACTGTATGCAGAAGACATGACATTGTAATATATAGGGAACTCTAAAGACTCCACTAAAAAGCTACTAGATCTAATAAATGAACTTAGCAAAGTTGCAGGATACAAAATCAACACACCGAGATCCTTGGCATGTTTAGACCCCAATGATAAACTGCCAAAAAGAGAAACTAAGAAAACAACCACATTTATTATTGCATCAAAAAATAACAAGGTAACCTAGGAATGAATTTTACCTAGGAAGGAGGTAAAAGGTCTCTACTCAGGGAACTATATGACATTGAAGAAAGAAATTAAGGAAGATACAAACAAGTGTAAGCATAGTCCATATTCCTGGATTGGAAGAATTAACATCATTAAAATGCCCATACTATCTAAACCAATCTATAGCTTCAATACAATTCCTATTAAAATACCAATGACATATATGACAGAACTAGAAAAAATATTTTAAAATTCTATCTAGAACCAAAATAGACACCAAAAAGCCACAGGATCTTGAAAACAAAAACAAAAACAAAAACAAAAAAACCTTGATGGGATCCCAATACAGCGATCAAACTATACTACAAGGCCATTATAATCAAAATAGCCTGGTATTGGCATAAGAACAGACGTATAGACCAATGGAACACAACAGAGAGCCAAGAAATCAACCCACAACTTTATGGTTGATTAATATTTGACCAAGGAGGCAAGAGCATACAATGGACTAAAGACAGTCTCTTTAATAAATGCTGTTGGGAAAAGTGGATAGGTACATAAAAGAGAGAGAGAGAGAGAGAGAGAGAGAGAGAGAGAGAGAGAGA